CTCCGGGTTGGCCGTACATGAGCTGCACCTGGGGACGCCGCCGCCGCCGTCGGTGCTTTAACCAGCTGTACGACAAGCAACCAGCTGTAGTTCCACGTGGGGTGTGACGGCAGTAGTGGTCGGCAGTAGCCACCACTGTGGGGGCTTTTGCGAGCTCAGTTAGAAGGGGACAGCGTTACAAACGGGGGGTAAACCACGACGTCGCTCAGCCATTGACACTGTCTTGCTGGCTGGCTGGCTGAATGAGGTAACGTGCTAAGTGTTACGACGGTCCGGAACCCGCGATGGCCGCATACGCAGGAGGGGAGGGGAATATACACCTCGTAACCTCACCGCCCGCCGCCGCATGTATGACTGTTGTTGCATTCCCCCTCAGCGCTGCGGTGTGGAGGGCGGGTGTGGAGGGCGGGTGTGGAGGGCGGGTGTGGAGGGCGGGTGTGGAGGGCGGGTGTGGAGGGCGGGTGTGGAGGGCGGGTTATGACTGTCGTACGAGCAGGTGGGTCTGTTGGGATGGGCGGGGTGTTGCCATCACCGGCTGATTGGCAGGCAGGTTGCCCGGCTGGCTGGCTGGCTGAAGCACACCGGCACAGTGTACATACGTATTCATAAGGGGAGGGGGGAAAGGGGCGGTTCAATCCGCCGCGGGCGGTGAGAAACCGGAGTGCTGTTTGGAGTGTTTTTCCGCACGATGGAGGGTGTGAATGGATGGGTGTGGTTTCGGGGCGAAGGGGTGTGACGATGACAACGATGACGACCTGAGTGACGTCTCCTGGTGGCGGGTATGGTGTATGGGCCTCTCACATACGCAACCCCCTGCGTGTAAAGTGCATTCGGACTGTGCTGCCACCGCCACCGCCACCGCCACCGCCACCGCCACCGCCACCGCCACCGCCACCGCCACCGCCACCGCCACCGCCACCGCCACCGCCACTGTCGCGGTAGCGGTAGCGGTAGCGGTAGCGGTAGCTGAGGGAGCTGAGGTCAACGTGTCGAAGGGCCCATAGCAGAGCAGGAAGTTTTAGAGCAGTCCTACGGGCCAAGAGCGGCTCGGATGGAGCTGTCGTATGGAGGAGGAGGAGGTGGTGATCTGAAGCGCAGCTGGTCCTAGCGCCCTAGCGCCGTCCGCGTGCTGCCGGTTGCCGGTTGTTTCTTGGTGTCCCTTATCGTCGCTTATCAGAGCATGCTAGCAACTGAGGGTCCATTAGCAGCCCAGCACTACCCGGGGGTGGGTGGGGGGTGGGTGGCGCACCCCCACCAAGGGGGTGGGGGATTTTTAATTTGATTGAGGTGTTGCGTTTGGTGGCGATGGCATCGTGTCGATCAATCAAAAGGCCAAATCTACGGTGAAACCCTCCGGCGATACGTGTGAATATTCATATGAATGTATGAACGAGGTCACGGAGCTGGAGCCTCTGGGCGAAGTTGCAAGTTGTAGGCTGCAACATCATGATGACGCAACACGAGGCATAACACAAACAAAAAAGGCTTTTTCTCCCGACATGACATTAAAAAAAAGAGAGACGTGACGTGGGCTCAAGAGAGACGAGACGTGGCGTGGCTAACGTGACCACACATCACACCCACAGTGGGTGGCTCGGGCGGATCCATCGGGCGTGACATTATATTAGCGTCTGTTCTGAAAGAAGGTTGCTGATGTGGCTTTACAAGCTGCCTCGCCTCGCCCCCCTTGCTCTTCCACAAGGCGAGGCGGTGTGCAAGGGAGGGGAGAAGGCAGCGAAGGGCTGGTTAGCTGGTTAAATTTGTCTACTGACTCTAAAAGGCGGTCTACTATCTTTGGTGGTTCTTTTACCTCTACACGACACCAGCCAGACCTACACCGTTGTTGTCCGGTGGTGTACCGACCACCGGAATGCCGCCAGCCAGCGACCAGCGTGCAGGGGCTAGTGGCAAAACACGTAATCGTCTAACTGAATAACCGACAGGACGGAAAAGATCGAACGTTACATGAGAGGGTGTTGTCTTGGCGCGTCCCACCAAACAAACAAAGCCCGGCAAAGGAACAAAAATAGGTGACAGGTACACAAAGGAATGTACGCATTAGTACACAAACTGTACTTGTCTGTCGTCGTGCGGGGCTCCTGTTAATAATTTAACAGCGATATCAAATGCCACAAATGCAACACGAGTGACATCTCTGGCATGGGGCATTTTGAAATTGACGTTGGGGATCAGGTTGAAACGTACGAAACGGCATAGTACGGAAACGTAACGAGCAAATTCAATTCAATGCTAGCTAACATATGTACAGGTATATACATGTCAATTATCAACCCGCCGACGGTCCTCTGGCATATTCGTCTTTCCCACCAGCCGTCTTAACCGCAAACCATCCTCCTCATGGGCACTGGATGGGCAACAGCGCTGCATCAACATTTTTTGCTAGCCAGTCACACGGATCGCGAATGATGCGCGGGGGGGGCGGAGGCGGCCTCTTGCGCGGGGGCGGCGGAGGGGGACTCTTCATTGGCGGTGGAGGGGGCGGCCGTTTCACAGGCGGCGGAGGGGGTGGCCTTTTCAGCGGCGGTGGCGGGGGGGGCTTCTTCCGAGGGGGCGGGTTATAATCCGGGAAGTCGTAGTCGGGGCAGGGCCTCAATGGAAGCGCTGTGTCGGCGGGAAGCTGAGCTAGCCGGCGAAGGGGAATGCAGGGGTAGGGCCAGAGGGCTGCTGTGGCGGCCTCCGCGGCGGCCCTTCTATCGGGCCCCACATCCGCCGCCTGACCGCTGTCCTCCGCGGCATACTTCATGTCCAGGTCGGCTCCTGCAGCAGTGCAAACAATGTGGGGGAAGGGGGGTCAGCGCCCAGCCTCCCGCTCAGCGCCAACACCTAGCTACCCGGCTACGTGTGGGACTACAGCGGACTCGCTGTCACATATCAGGGTAATTAGACATACATACATACATGTAGACAGACAGACAGACAGACAGACAGACAGACAGACAGACAGACAGACAGACAGACAGACAGACAGACAGACAGACAGACAGACAGACATCGGCCGGTCGGCCATCCCCACTGTAACAACCACACACACACACCCTGCTAATTTTTGCCTACCTGCCTCATTCCCGTCCGACAGGGCCGTCGTCTCCGCCCTGAGCGCTCCCAGCCCTCGGAGCTTGGCGGCAGTGCCCGTCCGCGCCAGCAGCAGCCCGGGGGCCACCACGAGGAAGAGAAGGAAAAGTGACGACAGCGTCTTCATCGCAGCTTGGTGGAGCGATATTGCTTGCTGATGATTGATTATCTTGCCCGTGGGTGATTAAGCGCTATCGTTCCTGCTTAAGGCAAAGGAAGGCAAGGTGTGCAGAGTTTAACAGGTGGAAATCACAAAACACCAGACTGCATAATAAATGTTAAATAATGTTAGGTAAAGAAAATGTCTAGGGGTTTGAAATCAAAAGCTTCAACAGGATACAGACTAAACAACTATATGGATTCCGACATTGGCGGGGACACGGATCACAACCGTTGAGAGCAGCTAACAGTGAATCATTAGATATACGTCTAAGACGGAAAGACGATTCTGAAAGATACCCTTCCCGCGACCGGAGACAGCTGGAAGCGGAAAAACTAGAACCAATTCATTCGGGAAGCAGACACCGCAGACTCCGAATACGGTGCACCCAAGACACATGAAAGAATCACAAAATTAAACGACACAGAAGCAAGAAACAACGCGGCGGCGTCCGAAGCGTTGAGCTGCTAAAGCGAGAGCGTCCACCGATGCGCCATCCAGGCGCTTGATCACAATTGAGAAATCGCAGTAATAACATCATGACCCTTACCTTTTCTGTGTCTGCGGTTTGTCCTTCGCAGGGTACAAGGCGGCGGACGCAAAAAGCCGGCGAAGCTTCGACTCCCTGTCTTACTTTTTCTCCACACTCAATGCCAGGTCCTGGCACATACACAGGGAAGAGCCATGAAGATTTATTGGATTAAAAATAACATACAGCCACCATCACATATCTCCATTTTGAGAGATGGTTCCTTTTTAAGGACGACCCTCTCGTACCGCAAATCTTTGCAACTGCTGTCGTGAGGGTTCAGGGCGACTCCAACAAGTGACGGAAAAGGTGCTTCCGCTGGATTGCAAGCAGGTTCCTAGTCAGTTAGTCGTTGACCAACGACCTGAGAAGGTTCCTTCCAACCAACTCGACGGGATAGATCTCGTTTGGATAAAGATGCCACGGACGATTGCAAACGTGTGCTTCCTTTGGTTTAATTTAAACGTGTCGAGGTTCATTTTTCTTGCTGCGGTGTTTACCGCAACCTTTTCCCAACCATAGCAGCTAAAGAGCTGCATACGCACGTCTGTCAGGCGGAATGAAGATGGCGGAAGGTGCCGAATGTTGGCATCTGCATTGCGAGTGAAATCCGCATCCGGCAAGATGTTGTGAGACGTTCAGATCCTTGCTGTGCACCGTGCGGGATCGGCAGCATGCCATACATGACCACGCATCCCTTTGGTTACCCTTCGGTTTCCGCCCCCGGATGGCTTCGCTCCAATCACCTGGTCATGGACCTTTGCGCACGCAACGCAAAGCAAGCGAAAAGGCAGCTGTGCACGATGTGACAAACGCCCAGGCTACTGGTTGCTACTGGCTCAGCCGTTTGTTGTCAGCCAGTACGACAAGCAAGTTAAATTGGGGCGTCGCTACAGGCGACACGATACGACATGATTATCGCAGGTGCACGTGTTGTGCTACGAAACATGACCAGCGGCTGCAAACATACACATCGATACCCGTTAGGGTCAAAGACCTTCCGATGGTGGAAGGCATTGCGCCCCTAGTTGATGGACGGTGGTGACCTGGGATAAAGTTAACCTGCGAGCCGACCAGGAATGGAGTTGGGCCGCTGTCGACCCGGCAGATTCCGTTGGATGCTGGTGGTGGGTGCGGAACCTGAGCGATCCACTGAGAAGTTGACTAGGGTGACTGGATGAGGGTGCCCCTAAATACCGGGGAAGGCAGGGTTTCGCAGGGTAGCTGCAACGGGCGAAGATACACCCCCCTGTTTCACACATCATACACATGCAGAGGTTCCGGGATCAAGACCTGTCAGGGTCGAAAACCTTCCGATGGTGGAGGGTAAAGTGCCCCTAGTCGATGGGCGGTGGTGACCTGGGATAAAGTTGACCTGCGAGCTGACCAGAAATGGGGTTGAGTCACCGTTGATCCAGCGGATTCCGTTGAATTCCGGTGGATCCACCGGTGTGGAACCTTGGGAAGGCGGGGTCTGCAGGGTAGCGGTCGCAGGGTGACGATATGAACCCCCTGTCCCACATATCATACATACATACATACATACATACACGCGCGCATGTGCTGTGGGGTTGGAGCATGGAGCTGCATCCACAGCACGCATCCATAGCGGCACGCGACGGCACGCGCAAGGTGGCTGCAGACACACTTTGCGCCAACGAGATTCATGACGACCTGGTTCGCAGACATGTACATGTGCGTGTGTGTGTTGGTGTGTTGGTGACTAGCAGAATGGCCAGCAGGAATGAGACTGCTTGCTTTCGTTACATAATTCTGTATGTCCTCCTCCCGTACGGCACGTCAGCCCGGCGTTGCAAGCAAGCCAGGAGCGCAGACAGGACGAACTATCACCATTTGTCTCGTACACCGCCGCCACCCATCACGGTCGTCACCCGTACACGAAAACCACTGATAAGGACGGCCTCCACGATATGTACCATGTATGTAAGTATGTATGTTGTTACAGGGTGGTAAACCTTCACCAGCGGCCCCCTTTCCCGAGGCAGTTCCCTGCTCTCCCCTGCGAGAGGGGCACCCTAATCCGTTCACCCCATCCGACTTCAGAATGTATTCGTTGGGTTCAGCAACTCACCACCAGCATCCAACCAATCCTAGCGGATCAACAACGCCTCAACTTAGTTCCTGGTCAGCTCGCAAGTTGATATGATCACGTCCTACACCGTCCACAAGATGGCTAGCCACCTCTCAACTCAACACCCCTCACACACTCGAGGGGTCGGCACGCGGATTTAAACCCGGACACTCCGGGAGCAGAAGTCAGGCCTTAACCTCTGCCGGCCACCTGCCTTAAACGTCACCAAGGGTTCGCACGTGGTCCCCCACCGCACTACTGACCTGGCCCAATGTGCCCAGTGCTGATGGGATGTATGTATGTACGTTTGGGGGGACGCAGCCCCTAACGGGACGCAGCTGCCCTACCCCCAAAAAACAGCTCCCGGTCAGGTTGATTAACTGCCTAACCTAACCCGCTAGCCGCCCGTCAATAATTGGAATGTTCGTAATCTATGTCGAGGCTAGCAGCTGCATACATACATACAGACAAGCTATGAATGCGCGGGTATATACACGTATGTACATCAGGGGCACCAGCTGGTGCATGGCAGAGGTCCTCTGCACGACGACAGCTAAGGGTAAAGCTGACGATGCTATAACAGGAAAATTAGATGAAGCCTTCTGTACTACGTAAATCAGAAATCAATAGCTAGGCGGCAAATTGACGTCGGACAAATAAATAAAGCTCAGCGGACTCCTATGAAGTACGACAGTGCGTGGCCCTCCAGAGTCGGCCCGCCTGTCCCTGCTACTGCCTGTTACTGCCTGCTACTGCCTGCTACTGCCTGCTGCTGTCTGCTGCTGCCGGCTATAATTTGATAAACCGCTCAAGTAAAGTAGACCTCGGCAGCACTACTGGAGTGACCACTACTGAGACCAAACCCAGCTCCCGGCAGCAGTGCGGCACATAGAGCTGTGTCGTCGTCTCTGCCCAGCCTAAGGGAGCTTACCCAGCTGCGGCACCAGGTCGCAGGAAATCGGAATCAAACTACCGTCCTTGTCGACGGCGTACAGCACGCACGGCGGCCGGGGAGCGGAACTGGCAGACGGCGGTGGAGGCTACGCGTGTGCGTGTTTGCGGGCGTATGTGCGTGTGTATGTATGTCAGGTACACGCGTTTCGTTGAACATGCGGTGGAGGGCAGGGCAGGTCGGGGATTGGGGTAGAAAAAGGAGGGAGGGAAGAGGTCAGTCACCTTGTCGCCCAAAAGTAATGAGGAAGCGCCAGCCAGTAATGGTCGCAGCCATAGTGGTATCTCTGCATTTTGTTAGCAAGTTACCCCTCTCCCCCGGGACCTATCTGCTGGTGGCAAACACTGTACGGAGCAGAGAGGCGCCCGCAAGGGGGCTCGTCAGCATGTTCCAGAAACTGTACGTCGGCGGACGGGTGCCAGATGTATACCCTGTTGTACGGCATTTGTTCAGCACTCACCGGGCGCTTCACGAGGTCGCAAGGGATCTTGATGATCTGGCCGCCGACGGTGATGGTGACGAAGCAAGGAGGCGGTGGCAGAGGCGGGCGCGGTGGGGGCGGTGGGGATCGCGGAGGTGATGGCGGCAGCGGCGGGGGCAGTGGCGGTGATGGCGGCGGCGGCGACTGCAAATTTAAAAGGGGGCGAAGGCAACCGCAGCCGAAGCAGGAGGCAATGTCGGGTGAGACTCAGTGAGATAAGCTCTCAATGCTCCGGGTTTATGAAAAGTGCCGAGAGTAGAGACATAGATGCCAGTACAGTGTGAACTACGTTGAGAATATACATGCTGCGAGCTAGGTGAGCTTTGCTTGAGGTGTAGACATTGACGCCGCAAATGTGCTCTGCGGACGTAACGCTGGCTGCGCGCAAATCCCCCGCGTTCTAAGGTTTGTAACGGTGCTGTCTTGTGGCAGGCAGGCGGATGGCAACGTGAAAGATAGCGGACAGTGGCATCTATTTGGCATGACCTTTATTGTCGTACACTACCGGTACGGCAAGATAGAAGTCGTACATACCATGCAAGGCAGCTTGACGGGGGTGCCCTGGATAACTTTGATTACGTAGCAAGGAGGTGGCGGCGACCTGGGCGGCGGCGGCTTGGGGCATGGTACCCAGATGGGAATGCCGCCGACTAATCGACGGCATTGAGGAGGCGGAGGCGGGGGTGGCCTGAATAAGGGAAAGATGATGTCATCCGCTGCGGCCTCCGCCACCGCCCTTCGCTCCCCCGCAGCTCCCGCACGACCTAGCGAGCCCCGCAACCGGGCGCTGCCTTCATGACCGCCCGTAAGGGTTGACGACGACGAGGTGTCGGAAGCAGCCTTGGCCAGGAGTGCAGGGCCCGAGGTCGGCATGAGGAGGAGCGCCGCCACCACCAACAGCAGGCACCGCGTACCGACGGACATTGGCTGAGGGTTGCACCGGCGGAAGGCCGGGAGCATCATATCTCTGTGGAAGGGCGGGGGCCCGGGGCCAGCAGAGGAGGCGGGAGCTTAGAGGGGGACAAAGGAAAGGCCTTGTAGTCAAGGTCAGTCGCGGCGTTTAAGCGGCTAACAGAAACCCAACATGGAGATATCACAAGGGCAGCGAAGAAATGTATCGATCGAAGAACATAAGTACCCTTACCTGTAGGATTGTCTTCTTTGGCCTTTCGCTGGTTAGGGGAACGATGTCGTGGGTATTGTTAAGCTTTAGATTTCTATTTCGAAGATGTGAGCTGTTTCACTTGTGGAAACAGTATGTGATGGTTATGGAGCGATGGGCCCATACTTATTGCCTCCCGCGTTGGTTACGGCGCGATGCTGTACTGCATTACTTTGTCGCTCGGCGCAATGTCGTATTGATATTGGGAAGGTTCTACATAGGAAGGTAAGTTGAACGGAGCGCTAGCAGTTTCCTCGCTACCGTACGCGTCCCCCAACGACCGGTGAAGCTTCCGCCGGGCAATCTGACGAGCGCCATTGGAGCCAGCCGTCCTACGAGTTATCATTAGCAAGTATTATCGCTTTATGTAAGTGGGGAATGTATTCATTTTACATCTTTTTATTTCATTTTGTTGCAAGAACCGCTTTCGCAAGGGCATCAGTTCAGAAGCTGTTTGGCAGGCGATCGGAAGGTGGCGAGTGATGCAGAGCGCGCTGCCAAAGTAATCCTTAGCCATTTGATGAGCAGTATGTGACGGTATCTGCTTTTATTATTAAACTATAAGTAAAACATTTCTGTACGTGCCTTGGCCATTTAGCTACTTAAGTGTCCTCTCCATCGATCCTGTGCTTTCACATTAGAAGCAGTAGTCCTCACGTACAATCTTGTTCATGAGTTGGTATAACTGAAGGTTTGTTTTAGTTGCTGGGCGCTGGAGGCCTATCAGTCTGCTCGTACTGTTAAGAGTAGCTCACCAGCTCACCAGGGTACACTGGCTTTCACGTGCATCGCACCGACTTGCAAGTCTTTGTCGTCGTTGCCAATTGCAAAGCGTTATTTGTAGATGCAATTCATGCATGTAATCCTGCTTGGAGTGGCCTGCGCATGGACTTCATGGACCCTTCCGGTGATTTCAAATGTGGCTAGTTCGGCGACCCAGCTTAAACATAAGACTTGTCGCCTACTCCACGCGCCCAATCCCGCGAGTGGACTTGTCGCCCCCTCGCTCATCGCTCGCTTCTCCCGCAAAAGGATGTCGTGGGTGCGGTGCGCGAGGGGTCAGTCGTGCAGGGCGCGCAGTGCGCCGATGTGCGGAGGGGCCTTAGAGACCCCCGGAAAGCCTATCACCTCCCAGCTTGCATGCTATCCAACCGATGCATTGCCACCCGGCCATACTCACTGCCATGAATGCGTTGGCATGTCCCTCGTCATTAACCCCCCAACGGCCGCTGCTTGTCCTGAGCGCCCCATCACTGCTGCCGGAGAAATGCGGTAAAATGCAATTCAAAAAGAGTCTCGTCGGTCGGTAGCTACAACATGCAACATGCAATGTAACGCCAGGCCCACATACATAGACAACTTCGCGGTTAAGGGGCAGGGCACGCACTCGCACGCACACGCGCGCCATGCAACTGTCCGCCCTGGTTCAAGCCGATTATTAATTGGGAAGGGCCACGCAGGCCTCTACATCTCGAGGGAGTTTCAATTTTCCTCTCTGCCGCTCTAGACGGAGAAGTTCCCGCCAAAGGCCGCGGATAAGAAGGCGCTGGTGCACGCAAAATGCAAGAGCGCCGTTTGGGTTCCAGCCACTGTCCGATACAGTGTCTGCCTCCCATCAATACGTCTTAGCAATCTGCTGTAATCACAGCTGCACTTTGTGCACACGTTTCTCTGGCGTGCGTGGACACGTGCGCGCTCGTGTATGCTTGACAGATACGGACAGGTCTAGCTACGTCTAGCTACCGAACAGTACCCGCCCAGCGCGACGATAGCCACTCCGAACCAGACGTTCCTTGGCGCAAAAATAAGCTTAGGGATTTTTAGATTCCTATTGGAGTGCGGTGTGGGACGGATGGAAGATTGTGATTAGTAATTGTCACGTGTCGTCCTGACAGCAGCAAAGGCCCGGCAACTCCTACCGGGCTGAGACCGACCGAACGCGTTCCCCGTAATGCTGCAACCTCGCTTCGACGACGCTTTGTAACACAGCAAATTTTATGAAATCTATCATGTTGTCGTCCCTTAATCGAGATGTGTTACCGGCATTACCAACGGGCTGGGCTCAGCTGGAAGGGCGGGCGTAACAGCTTTTTATATTGTACAGCTAGAAGCTGTTGGGAAGGAGATATTACGAGTTCCATGTATAAAACACACTCTGAACAGACACTAAAGTGCGATTGCGGCGCGGTTGCACGCCGCGATACCTCGCAGCCTTCCTCGGCAGCTGGACGGCACACAGCCGATGACTGATACAACGCTAACACTCAAATTTCATACATATTACCTTGATTGGCTCTTTTCGTTACAACTTCAAAAGGTGGGATGTTGGTACGCTGATGACCTTATCGTTCCTAGCCCTGCCTAGCACCGCGGCTAGTCCTTACGGCCAGCATCCACAGCCATTTAGAATGTTTTTTTCATGGTTAATAATTTATTGCTTCAATTTATGTAGGTATTCCGCGTATCGGGAACGCTTGGCGCGGCACCTACTTACCTTGTTCGCCTCTCTTCGTCCCTTCCGAATCTGCACGCCATACGCGCTATAGCGTGTCACCAGGCAGAAAGCTTCAGAGTGAAGTCCACCAAGCTGCGATGAAGACGCTGTCGTCACTTTTCCTTCTCGTCCTCGTGGTGGCCCCCGGGCTGCTGCTGGCGCGGACGGGCACTGCCGCCAAGCTCCGAGGGCTGGGAGCGCTCAGGGCGGAGACGACGGCCCTGTCGGACGGGAATGAGGCAGGTAGGCAAAAGTTAGCAGGGCATGGCCGACCAGCCGATGTCTGCTTCTGCTTCTTCTTCTTCTTCTGTCTGTCTGTCTGTCTGTCTGTCTGCATGTATGTATGGTTACCCTGATATGTGACAGCGAGTCCGCTGTAGTCCCACACGTAGCCGGGTAGCTAGGTGTTGGCGCTGAGCGGGAGGCTGGGCACCCATCCCCTTCCCCCCACATTGTTCGCACTGCTGCAGGAGCCGACCTGGACATGAAGTATGCCGCGGAGGACAGCGGTCAGGCGGCGGATGTGGGGCCCGGTAGAAGGGCCGCCGCGGAGGCCGCCATCTTGCCGTATCCCTGCATTCCTGTTCGCCGCTTATCGGCGTCAGCTCGCAAGCGGGGTCTGTTGCCGTGCGTCGAGGACTTCCCGCCTCCCAGGATCCGGCGGCCGCCCCCGCCAAAACCCCCCTCGCCTCCACCATCTCCGAATCCCCGTCTACCGCCGCCACCAAGGAAATCGCCTCCTTCACCGCCACCAAGGCCGCCCCCCCCGAGGCCGCCGCCCTCCCCGCCGCCCGCTGTGAAGAGACCGCCCCCTCCGCCCCGCATTATCCGCGACCCCCCGTGCTTCTTGGCCGCAAAAAATGTTGATGCAGCACTATTGCCCATCCAGTGCCCATGAGGAGGATGGTTTGCGGTTAAGACGGCTGGTGGTGGGGAAGGACGAATATGCCAGGGGACCGTCGGCGGGTTGAGCTTCTGACCACTTTTCCTTGAGCAATGCTCCCAGTGTGGTTGCAAGGCGAGTTCTTTAATACTCGCTTGCAGGCGCATTGTGATAGATTGATGTGACTTATTGTTGGTGTTTTTTCACCCATACGGGGGGTGCACGTGAGGGCTAATTGGGGGTACGCGATGGGACGTTCCATGTCCTTTCCCTTTCACCATCATCGCATACATAAGGAATCCAGGCCCTCCCTTGTCTGCACGTAGCATCGAACATAGAGCCATTTTGCGCGAGACTTGCTGTATCCCGGCCGGCAAGTGTGCCACAACACTGATGCCAGCTAGCATGTCGTCCGTACATCCGTACCTCAAGAGCATCCTTATCACGCCGTTTTGCGGGGTGGTGCGTATGCACGTAAGCCTTTCATTTGCGCCATGTCTGCTTCCGAACCTGTCGCCGTGTTTGTGTGTGATTGTGTGTGTGTGTGTGTGTGTGTGATTGTGTGTGTGTGTGTGTGTGTGCGTGTGTGTGTGTGTGTGTGTGTGTGTGTGTGTGTGTGTGTGTGTGTGTGTGTGTGTGTGTGTGTGTGTGTGTGTGTGTGTGTGTGTGTGTGTGTGTGTGTGTGTGTGTGCGTCCTTTGTTAGTTAATATTTAAAATGGAAGCCTGATGCTGTCCCAATGTACAATAACTTCGCCGATCCTTTCGGACTGAAAAGTGTGTATGTGTATGTGTATGTTACATCTTGGGTTGCGTTACCCCCCAAGTGTAAATTGAAGGTATCATACTGTCTAAAGCAGCTCCATAGAAACACAACCATAGTAGAAGGAAGCCCTTTATTTATCGCATTGGTTTATGTTGTCGTTGGCTTGAGAAACCTGGGCAGGATGCAGCCGGAGGAGGTTTGGACGAAATTGGGCTTTACCCGAAGGGGGCCTCCGTTTATTAGGTTTGTTCTCTAGCCCTTTACTGTACGACCCAGACACTCTCGCACAACCCCTATCGCACGCCGTAGGCCGCTGAAGGTTCCATGGGGCCAATTCTAATGGCCGCCCTTCCGGGGGACAGACAACGAGGCACGTAGGCCGTTGCGGACCTGCTAGCATGAGTGGTTCCTGGGAGCGCATTTGCGGAGTAAGCTGGACCCTAAGATGTGTAACTATTGAGGGAACTCCATCGACTGCTGGTCCAGGACCTGCCCTGCCGTAAATGCCCATTTGGAAGCTAGTGTCGTACAAGTCGCAAGCACCCGCATACGTGCCGTAGTTAACCTCTGATGCTCAACCATCTAGATCGTTCGTTTCGGTGACTTCGGTGATCTCGGCGATTCCTCTTCCCCTCTCCCCCCCTCGAAACCCGGTCCCCCTGGGAAACCTTGGGATGCATGCACGCTGTAAGCACTCAGAATTCGTCCGACGTTTATGACTGTCCTGTATCCTCTGCTGCCGGCTCATACCGGGACATGAGGACTTCACGCTGGTTTCAGACACCATCCGTTCAGACCATGCGGCCAATCAATACATTCTTGCAACAGCAGCGTCACCTCTAGCAGTGTCCCAGCTCCTGAGGGTCAAAAAAGCAGTAACGAACAACAACGCAAGAAATCCACCTGGATAGGGGTCACGTGTGGGCGCCTCTAAAGCATATACAGTGATCCAGCAACGACAGGCGGGCCAAGCGTTTTGCCATCTATTTATGTACTGACTACGTATGTACCTTGCAGGGCCGCACCATGTATAACAGTCCAGGTGTGCACCTTGCGACAGTGTTAAGACCGGCAAAGCGCCGGACCCCCCTTGGGTCCTATTACTGCTGTTACCATTCTCTGGTATATGAGTGTCGGTCACTTTCCAACAGACATCACCATGGATTACACACTATGTAGCAATGGCGAGTGAGTGCTCCCGCATCAGGCGATGGATTGCACAAAGGCGCGACCGTGGGAATGGATATTGCAATTTGCATTACACACTTAACGCCTGCTCGTGCAATGCCAGCTGCCCTGCTACTGATAATTGTACTGTATTTTGACAAAGAATATCTCGGCTTCCCCCTGTTTTGGAAAGGCTAGTCATTTGAACCCGCGACATGTACACAAGGTCGGACGCGATAGCTGACTTGACCCCGCGCATTCCAGTCATGCAAGAATATAACGGATCAAGCTTTTCATTTAGTTGCGCCGATCAATAGGCCTTTCTCCTGCTGCGTCGCATCCTTTTAACCGTTCGGAACCCTTGCAAGCCGTTCGAGTAAGGCTAATACGTAGCTAAAGATCGTACGCTCTTATGCATCAATTTATATGCCTTGAACTTCTCTCAGCTCATTCCGGTTACGTGCCGCATATAGCGGTGCACCTCTATAATGGATGGGACTGCAGGATCAATCACGAGAATGATACGCGTTCCTCATGACGCAAGATCACCTCAGTAAATTTGCAATCTCCTTCAACTACTACCTGCTTGCCGCTGGAACATTAAAGGTCAAATGAGACGCTTAGCTGCCGGACCTACACCTATACCGTACAGATTGATTGGATCGGTAGGCGGGCGCGCGTCCCGATAAGCACTAAGCTTCGCCACTGGTTCATATTCATCAAAAAGGATTGCAACACCAGGAAGACACGACCACATGACAGAGAATCGTTTCGTCTTTGTGGAACATCCTGTAAAACCCATGAATTGCAGCATTTCCGTAGCCGTTAAGATGCGAACTGTCGGACTCTAAAGGAGGGTGCTCGCGGTGATCTGTTCGTAGGAAATAAACTTCCGATCCAAGCGATTAACTTGACCCAACCGCACGCATGTCAGACCGAGGAATAAATTAGAATTGAAGGGCTCAACGAAGGAGCCTTCCTATATAAGCGAGCAGGGTACTCACTAAATTTAATACCCTGTGCCGCTCAATCTTTCAAGAGCACAACATCACCTCAGACTGTACGGGCAGCAAGGCACGGATAAGAATCTTAAGAAGTGCCGTCGCCTTACGGGGATTCTGGGCTTCGCAGTCTCGGAACAACTCTGCGAGGAAGGTAAATCCGCTCGCTAGTCGCAGAGTCATGACACGCCATGAGGCCTGGTTGACTGTCCCCGTCGCCACGTTTTCACATGCATGGAATGCGTTCTCATCCGCACGCAAATCAACGCTTCGTGTTTATTATTATCCCCTGTTTGTGCTACTTTCCCTCGTTCTTCCGGACTTCCATTCCGTGCCCGCCTGCTTACATGCCGCCATGCGAATGCGATGCTTTTGCCGCTGTCTTTGCGAACCTCCCTTTCAACCTGGAAGCGGGCCACACCGCGGGTTCCACATAATGCCGCCCCTCCCGCATAACTGCCGCAAACAGAGGTATGAGGCTCCCGGCCTTCCGCCGGTGCAGCCCGCAGCCAATGTCCGTCGGTACGCGGTGCCTGCTGTTGGTGGTGGCGGCGCTCCTCCTCATGCCGACCTCGGGCCCTGCACTCCTGGCCAAGGCTGCTTCCGACACCTCGTCGTCGTCAACCCTTACGGCCAGTCATCAAGTGACACAGGCCCTGACTGCTGCAGGTGTGTGGACACACTCGGAGCCCGGGGACCTGTCCAGACGCCCCCAAGCTAAACATCAGTCTGCTCTTAGTAACCTCTCCCCCCCTCCCACGTCACACCACCTGCTGCCTCTCAGCCCTCTCAGCCAACTTTCTACCCCCCGTCACCCCCCCTTGTATGCGGATCTATCCTGGATGGTACAGGTTCCAGCCTGGGCAGCGCTGCTGAAGGCGCCCGGTTGCGGGGCTCGCTAGGCCGTGCGGGAGCTGCGGGGGAGCGAAGGGCGGCGGCGGAGACCGCAGCGGACATCATCTTTCCCTTCTTCAGGCCACCCCCGCCTCCGTGCTTTATCCGCATATTCCGCGGCGATATCCCCATCTGGATACCATGCCCCAAGCCGCCTCCTAAGCCACCGTCACCCAGGCCACCACCACCCAGGCCGCCACCGCCCCCCTGCTTCTTCACCATCGTTTTGGGCGGCATTCCTGTGAGGTTCCCCTGCCCGGTAGGTATGGCATACATCCATTCACACCTGCCGTGCTTACGGGATTTTGATTATTATATCAGGCGGCATTTGCCTGGAAGGCCCAAACCCCCCGTGTGTTCTTGCTGTGCCAATGTTCACCGTTTAGCTCGCTGACAGACAGCGACAAGGACGTGAGCGAGCCTTGAAGTGTGGGCTGTTTGCGAATCGCCGGCTTGTTGGTGCGGCAGAGTAGACATCCAGATGCAATCCCTCTGCACCTCAAGCGAGTCCTGCCCTGCTTGGGCTCACTTGCTCCTCGCATGTGGGCGTGTCGCAGCTCGGGTACCCCGGGTACCGTCCTTAACCCTTGCCCGGCTCGTCAAACCCACGTACCCGCGCCGGCCAACCCTAGGGCCCTGAAGGCGTCAGTTGCGAGACTTAACTCACTACCACATGCACTGCTGCCGCTGCTTTCGCCACCATGCAGTCGCCACCGCCCCGGCCGCCACCACCGCCGCGACCGCCGCGGCCGCCGTCGCCACCGCCGCCGCCACCGCCCCCGCGGCCCCCGCGCCCGCCGCCGCCGCTCTGCTTCATAACGATCGTAATCAACGGCCGGATCATCAGAATCCCGTGTGACCTGTTGAACCGCTCGGTGAGTGGATAGTTTTCAAGCTTTAGGGGATGGGAGGACGTTGCGGAGATAGTGGTCACAACCCCTGGGTGGCCGTGTATCATAACACAGCAAGGACACTGAAATCCTTGGGTAGCGAACCATGGCCAGCTCCGCATGGACCCTTACGTCATATGGACCTTTAGGACATCATACGCATAAACAACGTATCCATGCGAATCAAACCTCAAGAACCGTTTGATGCCAAGCACTGCCATAGTTGCCAACGGTTTCATGGACGTCGGGGGCATTTGCAGTGCGGTATACATGGAACTGCGGCAAGCTAAGAAACGCGCCCACGTAGGCCATTGGCATTTCTCTCTCCCTTGCAAGCTATCCGTCTCATCCGTTTTGCAGCTAGCCTAGCGGAAGGCCTCAGTGCTAAGCTGCGGTTTCCGCGGTCTTCCCGAGCACCCAACACTCGGCAGCCTGTCTGTCACCCCTGTTGCCATTGACGATGGCAGTAATTGATCGCTCCCCCTTTTTCCCACCTGGCGTTTCCCCGTCCTGCCGTACTGAACAACCTCGGCAACGCCACCGCTTGTGAAACGACACATACACATGCAGCCGCCACCGTCTTCCTCACCTTGTTTCGTGAACGGTCTTGGCTCGGATGGAACTACGCTACCCATTCCGTGCAACCTGTTGCCGCCGCTGGCCCAGGAATCTTGAACAACCTGCAAAACAGATGAACAGACATCACCCGAAGCTCGTACATCCTCGTTGATGCAAAGCTGTTTAGGTTGATGGCTATGGTGTTAAAGGTGGTGTCGATGATGATGATAATGATTATTACGAGTTAATGATAATGCGTGATGGTGCATGGAGCAACGTGTCGTGCGAGCTTGGGTTTTCCCAGATGTCAGGGTTTTCACACACACACACACACACACTCCCACTGCGCCTTATGATGGTACGTCCATGCGCGCTTGTGATTGTGCTCGCGGATACGGTTTTGTCTTTCTGCCTACTTAAGCCTCACAATTATGCTTACGCGTGTGCTCGTACGTATTCTTATAGCTTCGGGGAAGGGGCAGCTGGGGGCCCTTCCATCCGCGCGCTACGGTCAGTTCGGTTGTGTACATAAACGCGCAAGGGCGCTAGAGCGCTAGAGCGCGTTCCCGGCATTTGGAGAGGCCTTTTCGGCGGGGAGTTACCACAGTTTGTGGACAAAGCCTTGGAGATCACGGCCCCCTTTTGCATGTGTTTCGATCGAAGGCGCATGGTGGCTGGTAGATAGCCAAACGAGGTCGAAGTAAAACAGGTTAGGATCCACACATGTCTTGCGGTGTGCTGACGGGGTGTCGAACTTGTTTGGTTCCCGGAGGCGTCCGTGTATTTGCCATCCACACACGCAACAGTGCACATACATAGAAATGTCATCAATAGTCGAGCCAGATTAAATCGTTTTCTGCACCATTATTTTTTGCACTACAGACTCGTTTGCTGTTGTATGCGTTGTCTTGTATGCGTATACATGCGCACGTATGTCTGTATGCACTGGTAAGTAGGTGGAATCGAAACCAAGAACGGCTTCCCTCGTCCTACTATGAAGGGCCATATTTATTACGTAGCGGGTTATTTCAGAAGTGGGATTCTAAGGGGTAGGTGTCGCGCATTATTATTGTGCACAGTTAGTACGCAGGTTTGCTGCTGCGGCACGCACGCGGGCGATAACTGGCGATAACAGCCTGCCGCGTCATGCGTGCGTACGGATGATGATAAGGTCACAGCGAGATACACGAAGGGCAATGCGCCCCGTCCCGGGCTGCTGGCGCTCCGTCCTTGTACATACATACATCTTGGTCCGCGCCTGTCCGCCTGCAGGTCCGTTGTAACAATATTTTCCTACCTCATTTCTGCACTAAGTGCCGACATTGCACTGCAACAAATAGTAGCAAGGAAAGGAAGAACGTAAGTAATTGCTGTAGTTGTTGACCAGCTCGAGGTGTCGCATTCAAGAGCTACCTTTGGCTCGCAAAGTAGAGAGCAAAATGTACGACAGCCCTCAGCCATGCGCGGGGTCGGGGGCCCCATGGATTTGCAAAGGTGATGGCTAACAGATAATTGACAGACTGGCTGGCAAGAAACGTAATCCTTCATCATTGCTTCCAGGCAGCATCCGGTGTCAGGTCTGTTATGCAGCGCGTGCTTTAGCAAAGGGTTTTGTTAGTAAGTGTCTTCAACAGGCTGTCGTTTCCGATGACACGCAACCAAGCGGCGTTGTTAGGGAGCCTCATTATCGATTGGGCAGGATTGGGGACCGAAAGATTGTTTGAACGCACGCAAGCCTGAATCAGCTTTACATTGCTTTGGAGCACGCGGTCGCAGCAGGTTCGTTATTCGGTGATGTACAGCCAATGCAGGTGAGGCAGAGCACCAGTGGACACCGAAGGGTACTGAGCTATGTAACGACAAGCCACGTCTTTAATATTTTGGCGGCCGGTTGAAAAGTTATCCCAACTGACAGCCTTTCTTTATCTTGGATACGTGTCATGTAAGCTACCGTCTCGCAAGTGCATGTAACGCGCCGATCATCATCATTCGACGCTTTCTTCCCGCCTGGAAAGCAGCTTCTTTAGCTGCTGCTCCTGCTTTACTTTTGTAGTCGCAGCGATAATCCATGCAGAAAAAAGTAATAACAAGATAATAATTTTTATCTGACATATTGGGGTGATTACGGATAGCGCGATATTCAGGTCTTCTGTCGTCCTAAAGGGACCAGACCCATACACAACTGCAGCTCCAGGGTGCTCGTCGAGCGGTTGGGAGGAAGCTTCGTGGGCCGTTGGACAGAAGATACGACAACCATCGCGTTACTAAGGTTAATGGAAGCTTCCACCTCGGACTTCATGAATCCACGACAAGTTGAGTGCTGTAAGGAAAACGGAAGTGCAGTACACAAGGAGCCGCGACCAGTATCTGTCCTATTAAAAAGGGACCCTTTCCCCTATCAGCAATATCTCAGCCTATCATTTCACAACAAAGTTAATAGCACTTAGCATCTAAGATTTATTAATTATTATCATCGCTGCGCCACATTGTCGCACTCCGTGCAACGGGGAGTCGACCCCGAAATCTGGTCACTTGCTGCCGCGCAGACTGTCCTTCTGCCGCTCATCAGTAGATCACGACATTAAGGTATGCTTTGAAATTATATTCATATTTTGTTATACATTTAGGCTTGTGCCTTGCTCGTACGTAAGCTTCACTTCGACGCGACATGATGGTCATACGTGATTTATTTTGTAAGATCAGCATCATATTTGGACAGTATCTTAGGATGCACTCATAATTAAATTTAAAATTGTTCTCCTCGACCACTGTCGTTGCTAAGATCTGCCTTCGTCCCGTACCTGCTGCCTACAGTGCCTACTTGCTTGTCAGCCTTGTGAAGGATCCGCCATTCCATATCCCGCGCGCGATGAGGACGCTGTCATCACTTTTCCTTCTCGTCCTCGTGGTGGCCCCCGGGCTGCTGCTGGCGCGGACGGGCACTGCCGCCAAGCTCCGAGGGCTGCGAGCGCTCAGGGCGGAGACGACTGCCCTGTCGGACGGGAATGAGGCAGGTAGGCAAAAATTAGCAGGGCATGGCCGACCAGCCGATGTCTGTCTGTCTGTCTGTTTGTCTGTCTGTCTATCTGCATGCATGCATGTACGTATGGTTACCCTGATATGTGACAGCGAGTCCGCTGTGGACTCAATTCCCACACGTAGCCAGGTAGCTAGGTGTAGGCGCTGGACGGGAGGCTGGGCGCTGAACCCCCTTCCCCCCACATTGTTCGCACTGCTGCAGGAGCCGACCTGGACATGAAGTATGCCGCGGAGGACAGCGGTCAGGCGGCGGATGTGGGGCCCGATAGAAGGGCTGCCGCGGAGGCCGCCACAGCAGCCCTCTGGCCCTACCCCTGCATTCCCCTTCGCCGGCTAGCTCAGCTTCCCGCCGACACAGCGCTTCCATTGAGGCCCTGCCCCGAGGACGACTTCCCGGATTATAACCCGCCCCCTCAGAAGAAGCCCCCGCCGCCGCCGCCGGTGAAGAAGCCGCCGCCGCCGCCACCGGTAAAGAAGCCCCCGCCGCCGCCGCCGGTAAAGAAGCCCCCACCGCCGCCGCCGGTGAAGAAGCCGCCGCCGCCACCACCCCTGAAGAGGCCGCCACCCAATGATATCAACGATCCGCGGTGCAACATCGCCGGAAAGTCCGGTGGTGCCAACGAGAAACCAATCTATTGCCCGTGATGATGAAATGATAGTGCGTTTGTCATATATTCGGTCGGTTTATTGCAATGCTAGCGGGACCCCATCCTGAAGTACATATGCAGTACATATGCAGTAAATTGAACATGTATATACAGCATGCATGTACATACATAGCCTCGAATGTGCAGCTCCGTTGCTAGTGTTCATGACTATGCGACCCGAAAACCGGTGTTGATAACCGCCAGCAGAGCTTCTTTTGGCCGACCTTTGCGCGCCGTCCGTAAGGGTGCCGCCGTTTTGCCTGGGGGCCGGGAACCTGTACGCTGATTAATTACTACATGGTGGAGTTGGTGGTGCTGGCCGGTTGTGGCCGGTGTAGCCGGTGCCCGAGTGTGGATGGTGGTCGGTTAAGAGTCGCTCGTACAAGGGATCGTTCATGTGTGGTAGCCGCTAGGGACGTATTTTGACCACCATTCGTGAATAGCAATAATACATCGTGCTGCTAGGCTTTTCTCTGGAGTATCCCACCTCTTGGTTTGCACCAATACGACCGACACCCAAGCCGTGCGATGATGCAGGAAGCAATGCGGGCGAGAAATCCAACATGTTGAAGGAGCGGTCGCTGAGCGACGCGTTCTGAATAGATGCTAAGTTGTTTACAGAGCCTGTGTTGGCAGCTCCTGCAGCTCAATGTAAACCGTTTCGAGCTCCAAACCGTTGCGAACAACTTGTCTGCCACAATAGCTATACTACGTAGAAGCCTTTCCAATATTCCTGGCGCGCTGTTAAGTCACGCATCGCAATGCGTCCGATGTGTATAAGTTTATCTCCTGCATCAAAACCGAGGGGTCTTCTTCCTCCCTTAAGGGCTAGCTCAAAACCGCAGCACCGAGCAAGCTAACTAGTGCGACCCTTGTAGCGATCCTCGCCAGCAGCAGCGCCATCACTGCAATTATTCGTCTGCAATTATTTTTTCCTCATCAGATAGTTGATTAGATTTACCAGGGCGTCTGGCAGAGTGCGGTACGCGCTCTCACACGTCCCCAGGCGGTGGATTCATGGAGATCACACGGCGCTGAAACCAACCGGCGTTCCACGTGCAAGGCTCTGCCTTCCAGACAACGACGCAGCGACACGGGACAAGCAGTAGCAGCGGCCGCTCGAGCAGCAGACTGCCAGTCAAACCCCTTCCAGGTAATCGAAAAGACAAGATACTTTGCGTACGACGACTCGACGAGTATTTTTCTTGATGCGCATTCTGTACATGCACTGCACGCCACACCCGGCGCGGGGACAAATACATTCCATACCACCGCAACCATGCAACATGCCAACGCAAATGCACTCAGCTCTCCGCGCCCTACTGTGTTTCCGCTGCAAATCGAAAATTCAAATTGCACTGCTAGAGCTGAAGCTTCAAAACTTATGCAAAGCTGTGCTGTATATCTTCACGAAACTGTGACCGTCTCATCTTCCTCCAGTTGACTCGACACGTGCTACTCCGGTCGCTGCCAACCCCTGTTCACGGGAACCAGGGCCACTTGATCCCCTCGTCCTCGACAAAACCCTTCGCAGGAAGCCAAACACCGGGACACCCTTCCGGAGCTTGCTTTGCTCCCCGACCAACGAACCCCCACGCAAGGTATCGGCGAACCGCTGATTTTACCACACAAGATTTGCAATCCAGAATAAAGACCTGTACTTACAGACCTGTATCTATCACGCAAAGAGACCATCAGGAAACGCATCAGGAAAAAAAGACCGAGTACACGCCGCTTGGCAGCCACAGTCCTTACACGAGACACTACGTACTGTCGCCCTTGTCCCTCCTGATTTCTGTCCCTAAGGACCAACACGCCCTCGTCAGCAGGGCTGCCAACGCACACACACACACACGCGCGTTGCGCCCCGGACACCCTCCCCGCATCCACTACCGTTGGTGGTGATCACCAAGCTGCTGGCTGACATGCCCTCCGTCCAAACCCGCTGGCCCAGCGCCGACGCCGCTACCACACGACACTTCCGCCAAGGTCGCCACGAGGCTCGAAGTGCCGCTGCCGTCCAGGTTTAGGCCGCTGTCCGCTTCCGCGTCGTCTATGCTGGCCCCTGCGCCAGTGTCCACGTTCCCCGCCCCCTCCGCGGCCCCATTTCCGTTCCCGTTCCGGTTTCCGGCGACGTAGTTGACGTTGGCCCCCCCGACGACGGCCAGGGTCTCCTTGTTGCTGCGGCCCAGGGCTGCTCGCGCTCGGACCATGTTGAACTCGAGCTCCTCGGGCTCGAACTGGCAGGTGTCCGGGTCAGCCAGGCAGCGCACCATGGTCCTCTGCGCTATGGCCCTCTGCGCCATCACCCTGAGGTCGGCGCAGATGTCGGGCAGCGGCAGGATGGAGAAGGGCTCCTCGATTTGCACCCCGATGTCCTGTGGAGCGGTGCGGAGTGGGAGGGAGTGGGAGAGAGTGGGAGGGAGGGGAAAAGGAAGGGTTGCAGGGGCCGCCAGCATCAGCGGTCGGACCTGTACGGTACCTTGGTAGTGGGAGGGAGGGCAATTCTGAGGAAGGTCTCCGCACAAACTCGCTTGACCAGCAGCTTGACCATCTCCTCTCATAATGTGTAAGGATGTTTCCACGGTTATGTTCGCAACCCTCACCACACATGCATATGCATTCACAAGTACACCGAAGCTTTCTTCCGTACATTAAACCACATTGCCGCTTGTAAAGACTTGTACGAAAAAGACAGGGAAAAGAAAACACCCCGTACATCCCCCACCCCATCTTCTATCCCGGCCCACCTCAATGCCCAGCAGCAGAAAAGCGATGACCAGGGTGACGGGGACAACTGCCCAGTCACACGAGTCGTACAGCGCGAGTGGTAGTGCGGTCAGGTAGATGAGCATGAAACGGGAGGTGTGGCGGGTGTAGGTCAGGGGAATGGGGAAGCGCAGGATCTGCGGGGCGGAGGGAGGGCGGGGGAGGGGGGCCGGAGGGGGGCCGGAAGGGGAGCGGCAGGCTGGTCGGTGAGCTGGCCACAGACAGCAAGCGGTATCCGGATCCACTGCGCACCCGCCTCCGCCAGCACTGCCGCGGTACAGCTGTACTGCTGTTTTGAGGAGGCAGTACAGGCCACGGTGGACATGGACCAGCACCCTAGCACGCACCGAGTTGTACACAGTTGTGTACCCCTCCCTCCCCTCCCTCCCGTCCCCATGCCGCGCAGTGCCATCCACATGCCCTAAAATGAGGTATCTCCGCGAGAAAGACCGCCAGCTCACATACATACAGCAATGTACCACCCTGGCCCCCTCCACAACAACCCCCACCCCCTTTCCGGCAGCCCTCTTGTCCCCCGCCACCAACAGGCCCCTACTCCGGATTCCAAATCCCGCTCCTATTTCCGTTCCCTTGCGCCCCACTCCGCTCCACCCACTCCGCTCCGCCCACCTTTTCGCACTCGCAGGCGGCCTCATTGAAGCCGTGCAGGTCGTCCAGTATGGTGGCCTCCCGGCTCTCCCCCAGCTGGGCGGCCTCCACCAGGGCGGTCAACACACTCAGGCAGAAGTGGTGGTAGTAGGGGCCGGCGGACACAAGCTGCAGGGCAGGGGAGGAGGCATAGGGGGGAGGGGAACGGGAGGGACCAAGCTCCTCAGCGCCCGACTACCGCGGGAAGTTGGGTTTCACGGGTCCTGTAGTGGGTGGCGAAGTCCGCCGTGTACTGGGGTTGGGGCACCGCAACATCGCGTCGCGTGGGCACCTGCCAGGTCGTCGTGTCTGGCTGGGTGAGAGCAGACAAGACAGTGATCCGCCCTGACGTGGTGGCCGGTCTGTAACGGTTAGGTAGGTAACGCTCGAAAAACGGTTAGACGGGTAGCGGTTATTTTCTTATTATGCTTGTAGCCATGCCGGGGCCCCCTCCCACCTGCTCCACCTCGTGCGGCCTGAGCACCTCCCTCAGCTGCGCCCGTATGGCGGCCTCCAGTGCCGGATCCCCCTGGTCGTGGCGCAGCTCCAGCATGAGGCACAGCGGGAAGGCGTCCACCCAGCGCGCCAGGCGCTGCAGGGAGGCGGTGTCGTCCACCCAGGCAGCGGCCTTGCGGATCAGATGGGCGGAGGAGTTGCGCAGAGAGCCCCAGGCGTTCATGGCGGCACACCTGGACCCGGAGAGGGAGGGACGGAGGGAGGGAGGGTGGAAAGAGGGGTTGGCATCGGGATGGGAGATAAGTGTTGGAAAGCCGTGTCGCGGACTATCTGCACCCCATAGCCCCAAGTTCTGGAGCCTTTAATCAGATGTGCATGGAGGGGGCATGGATCGCGTGGGGCCAGGTCAAGGGGTCAGGCCCAAGCAGGGTGATCATTTGCACGTACCATCGGCTGTAGCTGGCGTCCGTCCGGAAGACCAGCAGTAGCGACAGGGCGAAGGAGGTCAGCTGGAAAGGAGTGTCCGTGAAGCTCACGCCCTGACGTAACACATACATACATACATACATAAATAAATAAATACACACTCATAGCGAACCAAAAAGCGGGATGTGCCAGAGGACGGCCGGGCCACAGGGAAGGTGCCGTGAATGGCGGCCGGTGCCATCAGCCGCCCGTGGACGCGGATATACGCACGGCGTGATGAGAGGAAATCCAAGCGGAGCTTTCCACCTTGCTGAGGAGTTCCACCTACCAGGGAAAGTTCACATCCGGGAAGTTCTCCCTTGAGAGCAGCTAGGTGGCAGCTAGTAAGGCTGGACCAGAGGGAAGAGGGGGTGTGCCCCCGGGCCTAACGTGCCGGGTAAGTTGTTACTGAGTTGTTACCTCGGCTCTCGGAGAGCACCTAACCCCACCGCCATTTCCCGTGCATAATGTACACGCAGCTTACCCCTCCACCCCTCCTGAGGCTTCTCACCTCAAAGAAGTCCGGCAGCTCCCCCATTTCCACCAAGCTGCGGTACAGCACCACCAGGCAGGATACCAGTGTCAGGGCGCTCAGTGGTCCCTGTAGATTGCGGAAGGTGATGGACCTGGGCCGCCGGGAGGGGGGGAGGGGGGGCAATAGGGGGCGGGATCAGAAGAGGGATTTAAAGTGGGGAGAGGAGGGAGAAGGATGCTTGCAGGGGGATTTTTGCTAGACAGGAGATCTCGCTACCTAGGGCTGGGCGCGGTGGCGCGGATATGCTATGTCCGCTAGGCGGGAAAGCACAGTCACAGTCGCTGCAGGTGCTTCTGGTCAGGGAGGGCTGGAGATGTGCGAGGGAGACGGCGGGTAAAAGTTGCAACCAAGGGGTCAGCCCCCATGCCATGAAGTATCCATGCGGCCCGGCTAGTGGCAAGCATGCTGTCACGCGTTGGACAACGACTTGCAGGTCGCACCTAAAAATGGAGCTTAAATGCCGGGCATATCGGCCAGTATTCTGATGGTATTGCCATCGCGTGCGGTTAAACACAGGTGCGTTGATCCGACGCCCTGCCACTTCCTCTATAATGGGAGACTCTGCGCATATTTTCGTGCACCCTCGGCGGGCAAATCGTGGCCGGAGGACGCATGGCAAGGCCTTGCAATTCGCGAAGCCAAGGCACGCTCTGCGCGGAGTGTGCATGGAGACCGCCATCTCCCGCTTGTTACAGTGATGGGAAATTAGCTTTACTTCCTCTTATGCTCCGTTATGCCAGGCTGAGTATGCGCAGTGATAATATGTCCCTGCCCAAAACGATCCATGTTCAGGGCGTCACCGTGCTTTCATTCTGTAAAACTCCGGCATGCTTATATACAGTACATAACAGAAATGGAATGGAATTCAATTGCCAGGTGGCAGTACGGACGTTGGTTCGAGTGTCTGTCGGTGTGGGTGGCGTGGCTTCCCGCAGGTCGTGTTTGAGGAACGCCTTCACATACATATGTTCCTCTTCAAACTACAATTTGCTTTTTATTTTGCGGAAGTGCTACAGGACAGCTCTTCAGCGCTGTACCATCAGGCTTATCGACGTTACCGTTTAGCTTTCAACAGAAAGTACGTTGCGGCGTCACAGAATGACTATGTTAACTCTATGTTGACCTATCCCCTTCACAAACAAATAGCACCTTTGATTGATCGATGATCGATGTTTTGACTGCAAATAGCCCTGACCTTTCTCGCGTTATGGCCGTGGAAGTGCTTCTCCTGGCAAGCCCCTTGCGTGGCGTTCGCTAGCATTTGAAGAGAGAACGACATCTACCTGCTAAGCTGCTAGGTTGCCTGAATCCAACCGAGAAAACCGAACCAACAAATTTTCTGTTCCTTCCCGCCTCCACCCTTGGATATATGCCCGTGCCCCGCTATGAACTACTTGGTACAAACCTTTGCAGCACCGACCGTATTATGAAGCAGCGGCGAGGGGGCAGCTTTGGCGTGCAGCTAACTCTGGGAAGGCGTGAAACGAACAGACCTCCGAAAAGCTCCGCAAACGCATTCCGCATAGTTACGCACGAAGTCCACATAGCTCCGCCCAAAACGACACTTTGTTTGCTAGACCTAGACTTACACGGTATGCGGCAACTAAACGCATGTGGCTGGACCACACGCAGGTCTTTTTGCTTGCATTCTCATGATTTTCCTACCTTGTGACCCTTAGCAGACCACTAGATAAGCTGCACTAGACGTCTGTTGACGTTGTGAGGCGCCCACTGGGTCGCTGGCCTGACCGTTCTCCAAGCGAGCTGCGCAAGTGTTATCATTGCGCTTGTTGGATCTTAAAAATGATAAATATTCATGTTCAACTTAATACCGAGAGCCATGCAACTTCAGGCAAGATGCTATGGGCGCCTTAACAAAGCATGGATCCTGGATTCATTTCTTAGGTCGTGCTGTGGCAATCGTTGCACTTCACAGTTAACATGGTTACAGTTAGCTCCTATTCTTTATCACTATAGCCATATTGTCGGTTCAGACATGCAATTTCGTGTCTCAATTTGCTTTTCTAAGGCGTCCCTACTCTATTGCACAGCGTGAGCAACGTGGCCAACGCAGCAGCAAGCTTTGAGCTGAAAAGCTAAGGACGCTACTAAGAAGGAAATTGCCCTGATGGTAAGTCAAGGGATAGATTGTTTGACGGTTGGCCTTGCTTCATGGGATGCTTCCGTCAGATGTGACCGTCTTCCCAACTGAGCTCAAACAGTCACCATATCTACACCATCGACTTTTAGTTGCAGGACAACAACAATCACGAGCATGAGCCCATGAAAAGGGCTTAAGAATTTGGCACATGTCTCTCTGACAAGTTGTCGTCCTCCCCGGCCTTCATAACCGTATCAGACGACAGCCATTACAACATGTCCAACGCCCCGGGACAGACGAGAAACCTTCATCTCAAAGAGACGCATACACCGGCGGTGCGCTGCATCCTTGGAAGACAAGTTCGGAGCGTCTGTTTGCGACCAAACCCCTGCAGAAGAAGAAGACCTGTTTGCAACCATCCGCCTACGGCCTAAGCGGCAAGTAATTTTGGACGAATCCGATGAGGACGATTCTATGGCTTCCGCAGTATCCGTACATCGAGAGAGGCAAACGATGGATCAGCTAGATGACAATGGATCTTGGGAAAATGTGGCGAGCCATACGGGAACAGCCTTGGCTGCCCTCAGCGTTGAAGATACGACGGGGTCTCGCGGCGATGCACCGCTCTACGCTTCACCACCTGTTCATTGGCAGCCCTTTGACAGCTCAAACAGCCACCGTGTTGAGCATCACGTGCTGCCGCTGAAGAGTAAGACAGTGTCCGGGCGGAAAGCACCGGGGTTTGTCAGTTCCTTTGGAGGAGGGCGGGGAGCATGCCAAGTGCCCGGGTCATGAGCAGGCTGGATTGGATGCCCCTGTCTGCATCGTACGCGCTGAGACTCTGGACCACTTGTTAAGGAAATGCAACAATGGCTGGGATGTCAACGTCGTCAAATTCAACGTTGTATCGGCACTGGAAAACAGCCATTGATGCCTGAAGTGGTTCACCATCACACTTTTGGTCGTTACTGCAGGCCTTACAGCACATGCCACGCACGTGACTTTGCCAGGAAATCGTGCCAAGCACGTAAACTTTGTTTACTGCAATGTGGGTTGTTGCTCATTAGCTTCATGGTAGCAGGAGAAGGGCTTTTGATGCAATTATTTGCAGTTGCTGCTGGGGGAAGGATCTGCATGTGTGTGGCGATAACCCTGGGCCCCTTATCGCGAAACTGCGGACACAGGCCAGCTACTTATCGACACCTTGCTGGTGTCGAAACTGGTGCCTTAAGCTACTTACACCGACAAAGAGTTGGTCCCGGGCTCGTTTCCAGGCGATCCCCTAGGAGGCACCGTCCGTGGAACATTCGTGAGCCTGGAAGCGGCGGAGGTTCATGCTCTGATGGAAACTGGCATCAACAGGGTCGATGCCGAGAAGCTGCTGCTGTACTGCAATGGCGACGTTCACAGCGCACGTGACCTGGCAGTGAAGGTAACTGCGCACGCGCGTCTACGTGGTTGAATGCGGTACATGGTCGGCCCATGCTTCTGGGTGTCAGTTCTGGGAACGTATGAGGGAACGCATAGCCTAGGCCCCACGCTCCGTTGTCATTCCTCTATCCAAATCTGGTAACGGTCAGTCAATTTTTCGCTTCCACGGGAAGGATGAGAAATCCTAGCACGTCGCTGGACTACGGAGCTCGCTTCGGTAAAGTTATTCGTGTACCACCATCGGCATCTCCTCATCGCGGCTCCGAAGATCATTAAAACACAACAGTGATGTTACCTCGTTCCCGGCCTTGCAGGCCCGTAGCCTCATCGGTGTGCTGCTTAGCAACGGGCCAAACAAAGCAGCTGGAGCGACAGAAGAGGCTGATGACGTAGTGGCCAAGCCCGCAGCTGCCGAGTCCCTGGCGCTGGAAATGGAGCGGGTGCTGGGGCGGTTTGAGGTGAGACAGAAGCTACTTGGGTTTTCAGAGTTTGGATGTCCGGCATCTGATTTTTGTTTGTTGTGGCATTTGGGTTCTCTTCGATGATGCACGAAGTATGTCACTGAGGAACCGAAAAAAATTAAAATACGGGATGTCAGCGTAACTTACTAAGTCGCATGTAAATCACAAGCCTGGCAGGAATTTTACTTGCAGAAGGCGCACCTGTTTCGCCGATCTGGTCTGGATTCTAACCTCTCGACCATCAACCGCCCTTCGCGGTTGCCATCCCGTCATAGTTGCATTGCGTGGCCTACTGCTTCGCTTGGAAGCCAGGTTGATCTGGCTTGTCAGGTAGCTAGACGCCTAATTGCACGGCGCCTGCCGATAATGGACTTGCCGTTGTGCCTAATCTTGTTCAGGAGGACAGCCACCAGTCCCGGAAGCGAATCGTCCGCGTGGAGCGGGTGCAGAACCGTTGGTTGTGGACCCTCTTCTGCAACAGGCAAGACCCGATATACCTCAGGCTGTCGTGTGTATACGTATACTCGTGATGAGCTCCTGCAGGTAAAGCCACCTGGCTGGTGGCAGCATGGCATTATTGTGAGTGGAATGCGGCATGGCCGAAAGGACGTATGCGGGTAATGCTCGTCCTACATCTCTCTGTCTGTCCGTCGCTTGCACCTTCTTCCTTGGATTGCAGGCGGGCACAGATTCCGGCATCACGGGAGCGGTACCTCTGGTGTGCCGTCTCGACTAAGGATGTGTGCGCTGTTGTAATGAGGGGATTTAATGCGGCCGGGCTCGGAAGGTGAGGGTTTGAAGGGCTGCAGCTTTGCAGCTTCTTGACTGTTGCAGGAAATTCAGCTGCCATGCGTTCTTGGGGTTGTTGACTCAATCCGTTTAAATTATGGCTCTGGGGTAAAAGGGGTTTGGCTGCACGCAGCCACTGCTACCGGCTTGTTCCTCAACACCGGAAGCCATGCTCCGGCCCGGGTTCCGTGCATGACAGGGAGCCGCTCTTCATGGCCAACGCGGCCTTGGCACTCGACAAAGCAGGAGAGGTGGAACGAGAGCTGGCGCGCTTCATGCCAACGTCCGCGGCTGAGCAGCCGGCATTGGAAGCGGGACCTGCCATGCTGCCGGAACCGATGAACCTGGCCACATCGCAGGGAAGCTCCCTTTGGAGGCGGATTGTTTGGCAACCAAAGTCCTTGTGGCCATTTCGCTCAGGTGCGCGGGTGTAACTGGGGGTCTCCTTTATTGCAGGCGGGCAGCTTGTGTCGGCGGTGCAGCAGATAGTTTAGCAGCCCGTATGCACGTAGTGTCGCATCTTCATTCGAGAGCTCGTTAAACCAGCAGTGTGCACAATAGTGTCCGCTCGGTCTTACTATTCCCGCCGGCTTCGGACACGCAAGAAACCATTAACGGGGCCGCTTTGCAAACCTGTTCTCCAGGGGTCGTAGGAAAACCGGAGGAGCTTTTCGCTGCGTCGGCATGGGTGACACCTTCCGCGCCGCCTGTCCGTACTATCACAGCCGATTACCCTGGTAAGGGCGGCGTGTTGTTGCTGTGCCGGGTGGTATTGGGTCGCATGGAGCTGGGCCGCAGTGACAGCGGCGAGCTGACCCCGGGCGCAGACAGCGTCATGGATATGAAGACGGTCGCCGCCTCGGTGATGCAGCGCAACGCCGCGGCGTCTGCTGCTGGAGCGGGAGGGTGGACGCTACCGAGCACACTTCAGTCCGCGGAAGACCCTGCCTGGGAAGCTAACGGTATGTATGCCAACGACCTGGCAGTTGAGCTGCGGCACGCTGGAGCTCAGGCATATCCCGAGTACATTGTGCACTTTGACTAAAACGTTGCTGGTGCACCGCCATGTGGTAACCTACATCGTATTTGCGTGATTGGTAGCTGGCTGCGTGGCGCATAATAATCCGGCCGGCCTGCACACACACGGGTTATGAATAAGCCGCTCGCATTTTGTTCATGTGCGCACATCAATCACAATTTTGTTATCTGCGGTAGCATATGGTGTGTACTAGACGACGTTTGCAGGTGGCCCCTAGCCTAGCAGGTCTGCGTGCCCTCGAGAACCTCGAAACAAGCCGGTTGTCTAACACCTCGAGTGTGGTTATGGGTTTGATAAATAAAGCTCTCGTCAACATATGGTTATTTTATTTGTGGCCCGATCACGTTTTTCTTTCGCCTGCTGCCGTATGCGCTGGTTTAGTTTACACCCGCTATCTACGTATGGTGACAGGACGAGTTCGGAAGCAGGCATGGTTCCCTCGAGTTTTATGAGTCTTGCAGTGAGCTAACAGACCCCGGTGTGTCCTATGGGGAAGCCGAGGCCGCCGCTGACGAGTGGGTCTCCAAGTCTTAAGCAACCGCGGCAAATACGGCATATCGCTCATCCATAGGTTAAGTACCTGCATGGCTAGTATGCATGGAGTGGTTTACCAGCATTGACGCAATCACAGCACCTCAATCGCAACTGCGTGACCTTGTTTGCACTTGAAGCACCGCTTGGCACGGCGCTGTCAGTCAAGGGTTCTGTAAGGGGTGCGTGTCACTGGGGTCAGAGTGACATTGAGCAGCTATCCAAGCCGCCATCTATAATCATAACCCATGCTCCTGCATGTCCAAAAGCACTAGGAGAATTTGAACATTCGGCCGTCAGTGTGACCAGCTGTCTATCCATATAAAATGACGCGTCCGTCTTGCAGTTCCGTTCGTTCACTCGATGTCACAGTCTGGAAAAACGCCTTGGGAGATCCAGGGTCCAATGCACTGGATCATTAGCTCCCACACGTCATCAGTCGACTGTACAAAACCTGATCCTGGACTAGCTCCACACAGCCCTCCTTCATACGGTATGCAAGTATACTAGCAGTCATGAAAAGGTGTCTCCCCCAGTCAATAGTACAACATCCTGCCATAACTAAAGCGCCAGGAACATGGATACTTATCACGTCTGAAATGATGGAAAGACCAATGACCGCGGCCTTTGCCATACAACAGCAAACCTACGCGAATGAGAAAACAGGTGAACCTACCCTCTAGAACCCTACAATCAGTCCTAAGAACATTCGGGCCTTTGCACTGGATGTCGAGGCCGCCTTCTAAAAGTTCAGCCCATTGCATTTTCGTTGGTAAACACGCGCTCACCTCCCCCTGGCCCCGCTCGGTTCCGCCTCACACCCCCAACTTTGCCTCGACGGCCTCGAGCTTCCCGATCAACCCAGTGGTGGTGCCGCTCGCCGCCACCGCGGCGCTCCCGCTCGCCCCCTGCTTGCCTGTCGCCTCCACTCTCCCGGTCCCGATCGCCGGGCTCGTAATCGCGATCACGGTCTCGGTCGGTTTCCACCACCGCACCTCCACGCCTGCCAGCTGCAAAGCCGGCACCCCCATCCTCCCCTCGCCCGCCGCGTTCCCGCTCCCTTTCACGATCGCGGTCGCGCCCACCGCCGCCACCTTGCGCGTCAAGCCTGCCGCCGCCGTGGAAGGTGCCTCCACCACCACCAAGCGCGACCCAGCCCGAAGCGCCCGATCGCTGCCCGCTGCCTGCAGTAAAGAGTGCTGCAATGGCGGCCTCCTTTAAACTGCTGCTGGTGTACATGGAATGTCCGGCGGAGGTAGCCACTGCTCCGGCGACGCCGCGGCCGGCGTTGGATCCGGCCGTCAGTGCGGCCGCCAAATGCCGCGGTGCGTCTTGCATTGGCACAACGACATACTCGGAGCGCTTATCCAGACTCTTGATCTGCGGTCGCACAGGACAGCCGTACAGCTAACTAAGAAAGCGGGCTCTTATCAGTCCAGATGCACAAGCCAGCGTGGCTAACCTTCATTCTCTGATAAGGAGGTGCGCCGTTTGAATCGCAGCGCAGCATAGGTTGGCGGCATAGCCATGGCAGCACAACAAGGCCTAGGACACTCCGCTAAAACCTTGCAATAGTTCCATACCGTGACGTCACCGGATGCTGCGTCTTTGTCGTTGAGGACCACCACGGCCCGAACCCCACGGGACTGGGCGTACGCGTACTGATCACTCAGGCTGGGCGCCGGACGCGGCATAATCTCTGCCCTGACGCCGGCATGCCACAGCGCCGCCACCAGCTCCATGCGCTTGTCCAGGGCGCCGTCGCCGCCGCGCGCACACACAAGCACGTCCGCCTGGGTTCAATGATTTCGAGTGGTGATGGCGAAACGCAAACAGGCGGCACATAACCATCACCACCACCAGCCAAGCAGTTATCGAAGGGCCATGCCATTAACACGCGCACAAGGAGAGGCCACCAACCGAGGTAGGCTACCCCACGTGGGTCTCATGCACCGGTGGCCATCACGGACATGGACACCGCGCGACGACATGCCACCAGCTAATCCACCATACTAGGTGGGAGGCAGATTCCTCCCACCTAGTATGGGAGGAATCTGCGTACATCGAAGTGTTCAACAATAAATCGGCACGTACCTTCGATGCCTCCAGGCTTCGCAGCAGCCCCATCGAGTACGCCGCTGCACCCGCCGTCGCAGCACGGTGCTGTGACAGGCCAGCGATCAGGCGCTCGACGTTAAGGGTGGTGCCAACCGCACCCGGTAACGAGGCGTAGGCGTTGCCCAATAGCGAGCCGTGCTCGTGCGGGTGCTGGCCCGGCGCCGCGGCGGCGGATGGGCCGACGGCGGAGTTTATCCATAGTGCACGAAGGAGAGCATCGTAGCGACCACCCACGGCTACCATGCCCGCCGCTGCAGGACGAGATCGCAAGCCCCGTTGTGCCAAAGGTGGTGCCAGCGGGGAAAGGGCAAACAAAAGGTAAGAGCACAGACTGGGCCCGAGACGCAGTCGGGTTGGGGCATGGCGTGACGATTTATGCGGGTCAGTGCGAAATGACGCCCCGTACATGAAGGCTGCCAACAAGCGTGTTTCGACATGCCCCCCAGGTGGGCTGGTTGTTGGCCAACATCCCCTTATGTGTCCGGATATCACGGCAGGTGCTACTGGCGTTTACGCCTTAAACCCTTACCAACACGCCTGCTAGTTATCACCCTGCTGGTGCTTAGGCAGCCGCCCCACTAATGCTGTGCGGCCCAGGTGAGGACCAAGGTAAGGACCACAATCGGTTGACAGGCTAAGTAGCATTTAATGTTTCTTTGACTTGTCCACCTGCAGCTGAACAGCTGCAGGGCACTGGACACTCACCCGCGGCTCGGGCCAGGTGGTGCTGGCCGCTTTGGGCTGCGTGCAGCGGTGTAGAGCCCGAGCTGAGACCCCCATTTCCGGCGCCTTGCTGCCCCGGGGCTGCGGGCAGGCCCAGCAGATGCACCTGGTCGAGGCGGAATCAGATTGCGATGTTTAGTGGGGCGAACTTCGGTTGGTTGGAGTCGGTGCTTGTAAAAGGCACGGTGCAGTCAAGAACACTCGACCACCCAGACGGCCAAAACCCAAGCCCGAATTGCGACCTCTACTATGTTCCGTGGTCCTACGTAACGGCTGTGAAGTGTTGACGTCCCTGATGAGTGATGAGCAGGGGGGCTCACAACGCCGGGCGCAGGGGTGCTTTAACTTCGCTGATACGGCACTGATATAGTAACAAATCTCCTCGGCCGCTTGGAAACCTCCTACCTGGAAGAACACTCCGCTGTAATACTCAGCTGCGGGGCTCATGAGCGGATCCAACACCACCTGGGAGCACTGCGCAATGTGGTGGGGTGCAGCGGGTGGCGGCGGGTGCAGTGGCTTAGCAGCAGGGCGCAACTAGGAGGGAGACAGGGCCCACCCTGCAGGTATGCTGCTGCAAAACACTACCATGCGCCCAAACGCTTTGCAGCCAAGGGTATAGGACCTGTTTGCAAAATGGCAGGGACGCGGTGTCGCGATGAGGGCAGATAAGTATGTGTGCTGCATGTACATCCGATATTCCTCGGTGTCGGGCTCCCCAAGGCGCTGCTTCCACCTTCGCTGGCATAGACCTTAGTACGCTGACCCATAACCTGGCATCCAGCTCGCGGTACGCTGGCCTCTACCTGGCTGGTGGGCACGTCCCAGACCTCGAGGAGCTCCACCACCGCCTGCACCTCCTTCATCGCAAGCGCCAGCGCAGCAGAAAATGGCGGCGGGTGCACCTGCACCACAGCGCCACCGGCGCCGCCGCTACGGCCTGCTGCTGCACCTAATAATGACGGCGGCGCCGCCGCCGCTGCCGTAGCCGCCACTGCTGTTGCAGCCTTGGACACCGGTATTTGGGCCGCAGTGCCCTTCCGTGCTGCTGCTGCTGCCGCTGCTGTCGGCATCGCCTGGCTGCCTGCTTCCGGCGCCGCCGCCACTGTCACCGCTGGTCCCTGAAGGTAGGTCTTCAGACGGCTCAAGGCACCCTGCACGTCGCCCGGGAGCTCGCATACGCAGCGCTTGCAGCGGGCGACTCTATCGGCCGGCAGCCCGAGGCCGTCCAGCCCCGCCTTGACGGAGGGCCACGCCTGACGGAAAGTAAACGGTGCTCCCGAAAGGGTCGGGGGGAGATCGGGATGCGTCGTCAGATATACTACTGGAGTAGGAGGAGGGCTATGGAAAGCAACCCCGGCCACGCATACCGCATGCCCACAGCTATGGTGCTGCTTTAGCGCAACTCGTCAAAAGTAATTTTGCGGAGAAGGAAGCGAGGGAGAAAAAAAGACGAGTGCTGGAACCCAATATATCTGTCGACATTGGCTAGAGCCTGAGGAGCAAGGAAACCCATCCTGGGCCGTTGCGGCCGTATATCAGCTGCCGCCACAACCTTCCCGCCACCGAGGCGCACCGTCTGCCCTACCTTGTAACGCAGCTCTCCAGGAATGGCGCCCAGCATAGGGCTGGCC